GTGTCATGCAATAGTAACTGGTGGGAATCAACAATTTTCCGTTCTCACTGGCTTTATTTTTTAGAGGGATCTTCTATTTATGGCAAGAGCTACTACTGACTTTTGCTTTAGGTTCATAAATACACTTAGGTAAAAAAAAAAAGAGAGTGAGAGAGAGAAAGACTTAAAGAAAAATACTGAGTAAACCATAGTGTTACACGCAGCAAGAATTGCGACCACAGGCAGCAAATAACCGTTTGTTGAGAACTGCTTACCTCCTGCAAGTCTGGTCCCGTGGGCCATGAGCCAAGTAAAAATCAATAAATGCTATAAACAAGTTTATGTTGTTCCTGTCAGGTTTCACTGCCAAGGTGATAGACGGTCTGTGTTTGGAATGTATACACAGCTTGTGTAGAAAGGTTTGAATCGGCTTACAGCTTAAACCAACCCAAACAAGCCAAGTGGAGATTGAGTCCAGGTATGGACGCAGGCAGAGTGGATACCGTCATGCTTCAGAGAGTCCCAGATCACTATCTACACTTTGGCCGGGAACTCATGGTAAACATTCCTGGCAGCCAATGCAAAAACAATTGATGCTGTGTACAACGGCTTCTGTTTTCTTAGAAAAGAAAACATCTGCTCACTTTCAGAGACAAACTGTTCCGGAGATCGGACTCCGTGTCCTGGGGGCACAGTAACTGGGTGCCCAGTTTGTGTCTCTACTCATTATGTTGACAAAAGACACATCAGTGCTATTAACACGGTCAGTTCTTCTGAACCTTCTGCATGAGGGGGTTGCAAATGGATGAGCCAAGAGCTGTACTGGGTTTGCAAAAGTTTTTGTTGTTGTTGTTGTTGTTTTGGGTGTTAGCACAGGATTTTTAAAAAGATAATTTCCTTTTGTAAATAACAACTTTATTGAGACACAATTCACCTACTATATAACTCATCCATTTAAAGGATAGATTCAGTGGATTTTAGCGTACTCATGGCCTTGTTCAATCATTACCAACATACACTTTATTTCTTTAAAAATTTTTTTTAATTTCTAATTTTGAGGTGAGGTAATTAGGTTTATTTGCAGATTTATTTATTTATTTAATGGCAGTACTGGGGATTGAACCCAGGACCTTGTGCATGCTAAGGACACACTCTACCACCGAGCAATACCCTCCCCCCACCATATACTTTAAAACATTTTCATCTTCCCCCAAAAAACTGTACCCATCACCAGTCACTCCTCACTCCTTCCTCTCCCCTCCTCCCACCCCAGGCAACCTCTATTTTTTGTCTCTAGATTGTCTGTTCTGGACAGCTCGTATAAACAGAGCTGTATATTATGCATTATATACATTTCGTGGCTGGTCTTTCATTTAGCATGTGTTCAAGGTTCATAATGTTGTACCATGTATCAGTACTTTCTTTCTTTCCATTGCCAAATAATATTCCATATTATGGATATATCACTTCTTTTTTTTTAATTCATTCATCAACTGATGGACATTTGGATTGTTTCCACTTTTTGGCTGTTTTGAATAACACCACTATGAACAATCATGTACACGTTTTTGTGCGGACAAACGTTTTCATTGCTCTTGGGTATGTACCTAAGCGTGGATATACCAACTGGATCATACGGCAATTCATGTTTAATCTTTTGAAGGACTGCCAGACTGTTTTCCAAAATAGCTGCACTGTTTCACAACTCCACCAGCAGTGCATGAGGATTCCAGTTTCTCTACGACGTAACACTTGTTATTATCCATTTAAAAAATTACGATAGCCACCCGAGTAGGTGTGAAGTGGCATCTTATTCTGGTTTTGATTTGCATTTCCCTTATAGCTAATGATGCTAAGCACCTTTTCATGTGCTTACGGGCCATTATATCCATTATATGCGCAATGTATCTTCTTTTGAGAAATATCTATTCAGACCATTTACTTATTATTTAACTGGGTTATTTGGCTTTTTATTATTATTAAGTTGTAAGAGCTATTTACATATTCTACTCACAAGTCCATTTTCAGACACAGGGTGTGCAAAAATGTTCTCCCATTCTGTGGGCTATCTTTTCATTTTCTTTCTTTTTTTTTTTGACATTTTA